GGGGGGGGCCTGTGTGAGTGATAAATTAATCCGGAGGTCTGTCAGTGTGTGAATGACGTGCAGTGGTAAATAGACTACTAGTCCTCCGACCACTCAAAGCATTCCCCAACAGTGGTGGGCCATGCATTTTATACCTGGGCCTTCACTGCTGTCCTGCAGCTGAAATACCACCTTATAACCACATGATGGCACCACAGCTATTCATTTTTAAGGCTGCAACTATGTACGTCTTGGTATTAAACCGTTCCAAGACCGTTCGATAAGAGTTGTTTGAATAACGCTAGAGCATTTAAAAAAATGCAAAAGCCTAAATTCCGGAAAATATGTTCTCAGCTGGTCTGGCTGTGGGATCCACTGTCACTCCTTAATGACAAGCCACGACCCAAAGAGACTATCACAGGATTTTACTTTCACAACTTGAAGGTACTGCTCTGCAGTGTCTTTCCTCGTCTCAGTCCCCTGTGTCATGGTGTGTGCTACATCTCACTGAATCAGAATGCCCATATTTGATTGGCTGAGCTGCATCACGTGATGTGATTCACTACCCGACTAAGCCTCTGCTGTTAAGTTTCGTTTCACGATAGTCACGTGCTCGCCCACTGACCAATCACAGCACACTCTGCACCTCGCGGCAGCGCTGCACCTGGACACTGAGGGCCATGTAATGCTGACGTCATTATAGGCCGGCTAGCAGGTGCTGATAGTCAAAGAATACGCCCAACATGTCAAACTAAAGATCTGATGACATCACCGCACCGTCACCACGCCGACAGCAGCGCAGGCTTCAGTAACACAGCAGACAAAAGAAAAACAGCAAACTCACAGCTGGATTGTTATAAAAAAAAAAAAAAAAAAAAAAAAAACGACTTTATTGCCATTTTTCCACTATGGATTACACAAGGAAAGCAACAATGTAAGACCAGTACACACATTCAAATTAAAAACCGTTTTTTTTTTTGTTTGTTTTTTTCCTTCTTTCAGATAACTGACAAAACCATCATCATAAAAACAATGATTTAATAAACAGCCAGTTCGTTAATGGAAACTTTATTTACATGAGAAAACAAAAACAATCACTGACTTCATGCCATACTGTTTCTCACACACACACACACACGTTAGTGGAGGACAGTAAGTACAGTATTTACAGCAAACAGCTCTGCTTGGTGCTCCTGAATGAAGCGGCTCAGTTCACTGTTAGAGGGGACAGATTCAGCAACAGTGGTCACTCTGCAGAATAAGAGCTGGAGTCTTTAACCCTGAACCAGGTTTACATCCCATCCAAACACTACAGTTGATCATTTAGAGTTCAGCTGGGATAAAAACAAACTGAAAACATTCGTCTCTTTTAAATTTGAGGAGGATTTAAAAGCGCCGACTTTAAACTAGTGTGTACCAGAGGGCCCCAAACTCCCTATGTAACACCTGTTTATAACAGACAACGCCAGCATACAGCTGTGGCTTTTAGTCGCTTCAACTCAATCGCACGGCTTCATGTTGATGTGGAAATGCAGCTCAAAGTACTTTGTGGCAGGAAAAATATCTAAAATTGATAGAAATCCGACATCCATATTTCCACGGAGCTATTAGCCACCAAACAATGCTAATTAGACAATTCTCCTCTGCTGTTACAGACAGAAAATGTTAACTTTCTGCAAGTAATCCAAATCATCAGATGCTCCCAGTGCTGAGAATTACAAACTGATACTATGACAGTGTTCAGCCACAAGGGGGCGATCACATGCTGCATTTAGACAGCTACAAGTTGAGCTCTTTACTAGCATCTCTCCTAAATCTAGCAGCAGCGACTGTGTACACCATGGTGAAACAGGAAGAAACATTTCTTTAGATTTGTTTTGTCCTGAAACCACATGAGAAGCACTTCATAACAGTTAAGTGGTTACAACTTTTAAATATGTACAAACATATTGTGCAGGGATATTGAAACAGAGCAGAAGAGAAGTTTACCATTTAATTATCAGAATAAAAAGTGTACATGAGAGAGTAGAGGGTGGGAGGCACCCTGAAAGATAAAGCTGGGTCGGGAGCGACAGTTTGTTCATCAAGATGGATCTGTACAGACTGAGAATTAATAACATCAAAGCTTACTGCTAGACTCAGAAGTTTGAGTAGTACATAAAAACACGTCGATGGGTTCTTTTCGGTGTGTGTCGAGGCTGAAAACCTCAGTCTCAATCTGAACGGTCTCATCTACGTCATACATATCAGATTAGGGTGCGTTTGATGTCTGATAACTTACAGGCACAGTGGGTGGAGTCAGGTTCAAACTTGAGGGTGTGTTTTGTCTGCTGCTACCTGGTTTGTTGAACTGCTTCCTATTTCCGTTCACCAGAACATGAACAGAAAGACAGAACGGGTTTTCTACCACCAGCTGAACTCCACAGGCTCTGAGATGAAATGAGGTGATGTGGTGCTCCTTACTGCCGGTTGCTCTTTATCCTCTCCAGACGTTTCTTCAGGTCGTCCAGGTTGGCCGCCGGTGAAGCTGAGCGGGTGTGCGTCGGGGAATGGGAGTGTGTGTTATGTTCCTGCTGGTACAGCTCTCTGGACTCTTTGAGCTGAGACAGCTTACTGTGGAGCATGTCGGTGGACGAGGCCACCGGCGGCTTGGAGGACAGCAGGGAGGACATGGGAGGTCGCTGCTGAGGCTCGTCCTCGCTGCCACAGACACCCTGCTGCAGGTAGAAAGGGGAAGACGTGGGTCAGCTGCTATCATGAGCACACAGTCAATGGTGCTGCAGCAGAAGAACACCAATTCAACTAATATTCCAAATGTCATCAGAAGCAATATGTTCAGCAGGTGTTTTGTACCAAGCACAAGTTGAACTGCTTTGTAGAGCAGCAGGAGGGAAAGGAGGACAAACCCAGCTCACATGAACTCAGATATTACTCAGTGATGGTATCGAGATTAATCATGACATTCCAAAGTACTGTTACACTGCATGTATTGATTAACTGCTGCACAGTTGATGGATTTAATCAAAATCGCTAAGAGAATTATGATCCAACTGTGTACCGACAACGGACTGATTCTGATGTTTCACCAGCAAGTTCACAATAAACAGCTTCACCGTTCACTTGTTAGTGTTAAAAAAACAGAGCTCTCTGATCAATAATCATATCTTTATCTCGTTACTTGAGCTGATATTGATCTTATCCAGAGAACAAATGATACAGATCCTCTTTTATTTAATCTAATGTTTAAAGCTACTGTCGTCACCGGCCACGGAGGAAGAAAAGCACTTTAGACGCCTAAAGTATCAACTTGTCCACTTAGTCTGGAGAGGTCATCTGTAGTTAGAGCCATCAGATGTCCTGATCCGCCCCCTCAGAGCGTTACACATTTACATGGGGGGAGTCACAGCGATATACAACACAACAACAAAGAGGCAGAGACACTTCATTTATATCAGTCTGTCTAAAACTTTATCTTCAAATCAATGCAGTGAAGTGACGGCCATGGTGGCTGTGTGTGTGTGTGAGTGAGTGTGTATATCTAGGTTAGGATCAGGGATTTAGTTGCGACGGTCTAGGGTCAGGGACTAGGGAATGCATAACGTCATCGAGTGTCTTCATGAAGAAGGAGATCCTGGGATGCACTCAAGTCCACTAACCTTGGAGTTGTTTTCCAGGCCTTGTCTCTGTCTGAGGATCTTGAGTCTCTCATAGTAAACGGCTGGTTTCAGCTCTTCATTGTTACTGCTCAGACTGAAGTCCACACCATGCTGAGGGATCACTGTGGAGATGCGCACACGTTACTATACACGGCTGGCTTAACTGGGACCAAAGAGCCGGTGACAGCTCACAGTTTTACCTGCTGAGGTCTGGATGCGAGCCTTGCCCTCCCTCTCGGACTCGATCATACGAAGGCCTCGCTCTACGTAGCTCTGGAAGAACTGGGACGTGTTTTTGAGGAAGGGCTCCAGGTCTGCGTCCGAGTACTTCTGTTTGTACTCGTACAACTCTGTCAAACCCTGGGAAGAAGATCGGACACATTACTAAATGTGTTTCAAGCCCTTCGTCATAATACTCATCTGAAGGTTTAACAAGTCAACTGTAATAGAAACATTTCCTTTAAGTTTGAAACTGCAACAACTAGTACACTGAATGATTTGAAAAATGGAGCGGAGCGGACCTCTTTGGTGTTCTCCTTGGAGCCGATCTTCTTGAAGATTTCCGACAGAATGTCACTGACCTTGGCCTTCGACATCCGATCCTCCTTGGAACAAAAGGACAGATTCACGTCTCTTCAGAGTCAATTTAGAAACACCGCCACCCCAAAGACAACGACACAGTTTGTGTAAAGTCTTGACCAACACGACGGCGGCTACAGTGTGTGTAGCTCACAGTTAGAGGGCATACTCTCTCGGCTCCGCACAGTTCGATTCAGAGGAAGAGATTATAAAACGATCGATTCTTCGTGATGCATCAACATTTTTTGATACACGATTTATTTTTTTCTCACCGACTATCTGCTACTTTAGCAGCATCCTCGTAGTAAAACCACAGAACTCAGCATGTCATTTGACATACAGTCAGGTCCATAAATATTTGGACATTGACACAATTTTCATAATTTTGTCTCTGTACACAACCACAATGAATTTGAAATGACACAATGAAGATGTGCTTTGAGTGCAGACTTTCAGCTTCAGTCTGAGGGTATTTACATCCAGATCAGGTGAACGGTGTAGGAAGTACAAGACCTTTTATAGGTGGTCCCTCCCTTTTGAATGATGGTTGAAGAGAGAATCCACCACCACGACTCACCGTACGCAGACCGGTCTTCTCGTTGCCACGGTCACTCTTGAGTCCTGAGAGGTTTCCAGGCTGTTTGACCACCCGCCTCAGATGGGCCTCCAACTCGGACTCATTACGATTCTCTATCATTGATAGGTGGTCCAGGATCTGTTGATCAATGCATCGATACAAAAGTTCAAAAGTCAATAAGTCAAAATGAAAAACAGTTGTCACAGCAGGTTTATTTGTATCGCACATTTCAACAACAAGACAATTCAAAGTGCTTCACATAAAACCATTAAAAGCAGAACAATAACTAATAATATGATGGGATGGGTTTAGTGCATGTTACCTTGGCCCCCTTGAGCTTGCAGAGTGTGTGTAACAGAGTCTTCAGGGTTCTGTGTGGGACGTCATTCTTGAGCTGTTTGAGTTTATCTTTGGGGAAGATCTTCATGAAGTTGTGGACATCCAGTAAGATCCGATCCAGGTTGATGTTGTCGATGGTCTCTGGGAGAAAGCGGATCACCCTCCACAGACACTGAACACACACAAACCGCGAAGAGTCAGTTAACGGACAGCAGGGTCAGTAAGAGGAGGCGGAGTCACTCCTTACCTTCAAGACCAGCTCACAGAACATGGGAGAGGCATTCGTGACCAAACTGTCCTGAAGCAAAACCAGCAGAGCACTGCAGAGACAGGAAGGGAAGGGTTAACAATTATGTTCTACCATCATTAAGTGTCGTTATGTTTGTTATGGCCACACCATGTCACTGTGAATTCACTCAGGGACATTCTAATAATGTCAAACATATTGGTATCGATAGACTGAACACTAAAATAAAGCACAAAACTGTGGATTTAAGAACATATTACTTTAAAGAGGAAACTATTTCTGCACTGTACACAATCACGGGTTGTTGGCGTATAGAGGCCACATCCCTGGGACCATATTTTAGTAAAAATATGTACGATAGTCAACAGCAAGAGAATATTTTTTGACCCCATCTGAATTGTGCCATGAATTACACATATGGTGTTTGTCAAAGACAGTTTTGCAATTCAAGAAAGTGGCAGTTTGTTGTAGAAACATTTTGTTTTGTGTGAAAGCGATCAGTTAACTACATCTCGTCACCAACATGGCCGCTAGCTAGACTTGCTAGCTAGCTAGCTAACATAGCCATGTTCCCCGCACAAACGTCACGTCTTTATCTGCCAGGAAGCAAAAGGAGGGAGACCAGCTGTTGGTGTGAGGCATCGTAGCTTCAGAGAGAGACGTCTCTTACGCCATTCCTGGGTGTCTTTGTAATAACGTATTTTCACAGCCTTATACTTTAACCCTTTTTTGACGAGCAAAATTATCTTTTGAATTAACAAACGTCATGTTACACAATTCAAAATGGGATCAAAAAATGATTTGTCCCTCTCCATTGACTACCGTAAATATTTTTTAGAAATGATATCACATGATTGTCCACTGGAAGGGGCGGGACTTCGGCACTCTATCATAATAATACAGGAGATTAAAACCAATTATTTGAAAGTCTGGTTCAGGCGAATTCTCTCTTCCCTCACCAAGTCACACAAGACTCAGAGTTCTATTACGTACGTGTTGAATAAACACATTGAAGAACTACTGGGTGGTTTGGAATAATGTTACCATTTCTTCAATCCAACCTGTATATGTTGGTCTGGTCAGACTTTTCCATAACTCTGATCACCAGCAGGTTGACTGATCTGATGACCTGCATTCCGTCTTCCATGTTGTCCATTCTGCCGTCCAGCATCAGTGTTATCACACCGTGCATCAGGTCCTTCAACACTCCCATAGATGCCTCTCGGGCCAGGGACTCCATAGAGAACAACTAATAGAAAGAGAATGAGTCATCGTTGTTATATCAACCTCACCAATGTAGTTACTGACGTATCACGTTAGTATATGTGACTCACAGAGAGCATGTTTCCGATGATGCAGCTGTACAGTTTCATGATGTCCTTCTTGTCCATCCGCTCATCAGCCATGTGCGTGCTGTAGATGAGCCTGAGCTGCATGAAGGTAGCAATGAGGAACTGATCGATGTGTCCCGACATGACTTCTGCTTTGTCCTCCTGCCGCAACACCTCGTCGATCTACGGGGACAAACCACACTTTTGATCCCACCTCAAAGCATCTGTGTTGGATATTTCTATTACAACAAATGCATCATGTGACAATATGAAGGGGTGGGGGGGGGGGGGGGGTCGCTACTTGTAGTGTTGAACATGCAGAGAGGCATCACTAGATGCTTTATCGAGTGGATTTTCAGCTCATTGTTTAGCCGTCTAAGGCTTTACAGATGGAGCAGGCAGCTGTTTTCAGAAAAAAAGCTCTAAAAACCCAGTGGACATTACCTGCTCAGCACCAAACAGACTAAATGGAGCATCTGATAGCAGTTTGTTGCTGCCGTTTACATTCCTCCAGATGCAAATTCATCAACCGGATGGTATTTTTTAATTTTAATCAGATGTCAGATCTGTTTGACCTAAATTCTACCAGCATGTCCACATCTCCACCAGAGGAAACAACACACTGACCATCAGATCATATTACCCGCTCCTGCTGCCTACATACGCCCAGCTGATTAACCGGGCACAACCATCAGACAAAACAGATGAAGCTACAAGACTGTTTTGAATGTAAGGACCGGCACATGTTCAGGGCTGATGCCACCCAGGAGAACGACATCAATCTGGAGATATACAGCGGGAAGAACACGTCACCATTTTTCTCAGTAGATATATTTCTAAAGGTGATGTTGACATGAACTTCTCACCAGATGTCAGTAACAACCCAAGTAATCCAAACATACAAAGAAAACCAAACATAAGTTCAGAAATTAGGTTATGTGCAATAAAATGGTATGACTCAAGAAAAAAGTATTGAACAGTCTTACTGAAATTGATTAAATACTTTGTTGGTAATGACGGCTTCAAGACAGCTCCTGTATGGAGAACCTAGGCGCATGCATTGCTCAGGTGTGGTTTTGGTCCATTCTTCCACACAAACAGTCTTCAAATCTTGAAGGTTCCGTGGGCCTCTTCTGTGAACTCTGATCTTTAGTTCTTTCCATATTTTTTTCTATTGGATTCAAGTCAGCTGATTGGCTGGGCCATTCTAGCAGCTTGAACGTGTCATCATATCACTGTCACAGGAAAGTGTTCCCACCTGCTTCAAGACAGACACCATCGTCCCCACACCTAAGTCTGCAGTGTCCAGTCTAAATGACTACCGCCCTGTGGCACTCAGCCCCGTTCTGATGAAGCGCTTTGAGAAACTGGTTCTCCAGCTCATCAAAAACAACATTTCAGTCAGCCTGGACCTTCACCAGTTTGTAAACAGAGCCGACAGATCCACAGAGGATGCCGTCGCGACTGCTCTCCACTCGGCACCCACTCATCTTAAAATAGCAACACCTACAGCAGAATGTTGTTGATTTCAGCTCAGCCCTCAACACTCCTCCATGAAACTGATCTCTGTGAACCACATTCTGCAAACTGATAGCTCGTCATTGTGCTTGAGCAGCGAGGAAGAGGGACCATAACCTGACGAACAGAGTGAACGCCCATTCAGTGTGACATCGTGCTCATGTCCCTTGGTAGGATGGGTTATTTTGTTTTGCCCGAACCAGTCAGTAGCGACTTGCTAATCCACGCCGCCGATGTGACTTTGACTTGACAATGCTGCGGTCAACTTGAAGTTTCTCACAGTAAACAAAGAAACTAGTTTCTGAACGTGGACCTACATAGAAGTGTACAGCTGTGTCTATCTCATCCACACCACTTTTCATGGCTATAGTAAAGTAACGACCTAGTAGAGCTTAAAACTTTGATTTTATGCAAACTGATATAACCAGCATTTGTCATTATGATATATTCTGGGAAATTAAAAGCAGCCCACATTAGTGGCCCGCGGTGATGGCATTGGGTACCTAAATCCAACTTGTATGGCATTGGTAATTGATACTGGCTCTTACTAGGTTCGTCTAAGTGGGCTTTAAAAGAAACAAATGAACGCACAGAGCAGAAGTCAGTGGCGGGCCGTGCATTTTTTTGAAATCCGATTGGATAAAAGCTCTCCTGCAATAACATTTGGTTTGTAAACACATCAGGTTCTTGTTAACAGCAGTATTCTCTTTACACAGTAGCAGTTATAACAGTTATGATTCTGATAATAGATATTCAGCCGGTGTTCACAACTTTATCTTCATGTGTGTAAGAGATGCAATTTAAATATACTTCTTGAAAACTGCAAACCTATCTACGTCATGTTTTTATTAGTGCTGGGCAACGATTAAAATATTTAATCGCATGGATTTTTTGCGATTAATCGCATTGTTATGACAAAGTTTAATAATGAATTCAAAAGTAGTGTATTGTGCACTTTTATTTTAAAAGTACTGCTATATGAACTAAAGGGCAATAACATTTGGTTTGTAAACACTTATTAAAACAAATGAGGTTCTTTTTAACAGCAGTATTCCCTTTACACAGTAGCGATCATATTTCTTATATTATATGTATATTTTCCCTTTAACTCACGAGATGCAGCATGTCTTATACTTAATGTGAATATAATTCATACTTTGTTGGCATCTTATTCTGAAAACCGGATGTTGTCTCACGCTAATATTTTCACTAACTTTCAAAGTCTTTCGCTCGCTCCCGACCTGTGCCGTTTGAATGAGTTTACCGTGAATTTCAGCATATAGGTGCACTAACATGCAAGTGTCTGCTGACTTTACCACAGCGATGTCCAGTAGTCTCCAGGCAGAGAAACAGCTGGTGCACGTTGTAACGCCGCTTGTCTTGCTTTTGTTTATCTAAACGTCTCTCACAAGCTGCATCAACGTAGTCTGCTGAAGACTTCCTCCACGGACTTTCAAAATAAAAAATGCGTTAACGCGCTATAAAATAATTCTCGGCGTCAATTAATGAATGCGTTAACGCGTCAACTTGCCCCGCACTAGTTTTTATGTTTGTTAAATTCTCAGTAGTGATAACTAAATGCTTATTATACATATTACAAACAAAACACTTTAAAAACTCGAAAAAAATAATTAAAAATGAATCATTTCTTTTTGGCTTTTTTTGGTATTTTGGTCAGACACTATGCAACGCTGATTACCGTAATATGTGTGGTATTTGTTATAAATGTACGTTGGTACATAGAGGGTGATAAGAAGCTGTACATGGAGGGACTTAAGACCCAGGGGAATGTAGGTGAAGGAAACGGGAAGAGACGCCACACAAACAGCTGTTCACCGCTCGCTGCCAGTTCTTGTGTTAAAAATGTCCGCTTAATAAATAAATCAAAATTGCGTTAACGCGCAATAAAATAATTGTCGGCGTCAATTAATTAATGTGTTAACTTGCCCAGCACTAATAAAAACACATTTCACACATGCCCTGTCCTGCCGATTTAAACACAGATTCGTTGTTTAGCGTTTCATTATCAGAGCAGCCACGAGAAAGCTTTAATATTCCTCTCCAGACTGCATATTGTTATTGAATATAATGACCAGCAGTAAAACCTTTTTCACACTATGATGGTTAAACTCTGTAACAACATTAATCTGCAGATCACCGACTCCTCGATACATTTTTATATCCAAAATGCTCCCACACTGTGATTTACTCTTTTGGCAGATATAAGGCTGGAGGACATTATTACAGCTCTTCTCTTTAACACTTCAGGTGAGTAGCTCGAGTGTCACACATAAAACAAACCAGAGCACACAGACGTGCAGTATAATCATAGGCTCACTCAGCGTCGGAAATACACGAGGGCAAAGGGCAAAACTGCCCCTAAGAAATACAATTTTGCCCCCGATATCACTAGGAGGGGGGCAAAAAAGTGCCCCCATAATTTCCTCTAATAATAATGATAATGTAATGAACTTGTCAAAAACATCGTAGCCTATATGACCCGGTCCAGTTGCAATAGAATGGTTTTGATTTTGGCCTTGATGATGTTGCGTGTGCGTGAAGAACCGAACGTTCTAAACAAATAAATAAATGTGCGCTTCTTAAATCAGACGCGAGACTGCGGTCAACTCAGCAGACACTTAAATTTGAGTGAACCTACATGCTGAAATTCACGGTAAACGCATTCAAACGGCACAGAACGGGAGCGAGCGAAGGCCTTTGCAAAGTTAGCAGAAAGATTAACGTGAGACAACATCCGGTTTTCAGAATAAGATGCCAACAAAGTATACATATTGCATAATGGAAATTAGATTAAATTAATTATAGTCACATTAAGTATAAAAACATGCTACCTGCATCTCGTGAGTTAAAGGTAAAATACAGCGAAAGTGTGTAAAGTGTCTCTTTGATTTGAGGGTTGCTGGAAATGAAGAATACCTGACTGAGTCAATTAAGATATTTTACTAAGCAAAAACTCTGAACTGAATTTGTACCTTCAAATTTTTTAAATTTTTAAGGTGCTATAAAAATGTTTATCAATAATAAACATTTAACAATAAATAACTACAAAGAAATAAGAATAAAATTGAATACGATTTATGTTTGTTTTTTGTTCAAAAAATTTAAGAAAACACTTTGAATCTGTAGACTACTGCCTAATAGTCTTATTATTACCATTTGATGACAATTGCTCATATACTGTAAGCCTAAATAAGTATATGTATTATTTTGAACAAAGGTTGAATGTTATTTCACAAGTTTCAAAAAGTGCACCCAATTTTCTTTTAAATGCCCTTGGATTTCAGTCAGTGGGGGCAAAAATTGCCCCCTAAAAAAATATGTAAATTTCCTACCCTGGGCTCACTACTTCCCAAACACATGCATCTGCACTCTAAAATCTTACCATTTAAAACTATTTGGACTGGCCCGACGAGTAATTGGATTGGGCATGCGCAAGACTTTTTGTTTGGCATCACTTCAATTTGGTTATTATAGAATTGTGTCTCAGTTATGTAGAGGGTTGGATTTTACATTTGGAAAATAACCAGTCTGTGCTCTGTGCTGGACAAACTTTGAGACGCTGTGTCTCTCAAACCACTTCTTTTCTCTGAACTTTCTTGTGACTTATTTGGCCAACATCTACACCATACATCTGTTATAGGCATTCAAGGAGTGATTGGCAGGTGTTGTGGTGGTTCCAGCATGCTCCACCTAGGCTCATCCTTCGACCAATGTTGTTTTCTAGCTCCAGTAATTGCAATAATGGCAGTAGACAGTAAACACAAATCCAAGCTTCAAAACATCCCATCATCAGTGATGCCATCTTCATGTTTTCATACCTGTGCCAGTGCTTGTATGCTGTTGTTAATGTCACCGCTAGCCACCTGAGAGATGACAAAGTTGATGGTGGAGGCCGTGCTGTTGTGGAGGTCATCAAAGTGTGGAGAGACTGAACGCATCCTTTGAACACAAAAACAGACAATATTAAATCACCAAAAATGATTTCCCCCCCCATGGCTTTACTTTCTATCTGAACTGCGTATTTGCTTCAGTGGGTGTTAGTCTGGTTGTGTGTCAGAGTGCGTTTACTTGGGTTCAGGGATCATGATGGGCTCCAGCAGCTCGTCCAGCTTGTGTTGGACAAGGTCCGGCAGCTCACACACTCTGCTCTGGTCCATCTCGATCATGTCCAGGTCTAACTGAAACTCCTTGGGGATGGAGGGGTGGGAAGACTCGCTGTGCTGGGCGTTCTGACGGGCTTGGCTGGATGGACGGATAAGACAAGAGAGTATATTTAGTCCAGTGTATTATCGATCAGTGCCTTTTAGCTTCAGTCCTGACTGACACAAGCTTTTACGTATTAGTTTGAGCATCTATGACACTACATGTGTGTATCCAATAGCCGTCAGTCTAATGCCAGTGTATTCAGTGCAAGGAGGTCAATAACAACGAGGATAAAATGTTTGTGATCCTCAAACGGCATAACGCTTTTATTGAGAATCGATTCCATTTTTTAAAAAGCATAATTTCCCCCTTTTGGCTTCAAAAACCATCAATATCCAATTCTAATGAGTTAAAAACAACTTTAACAGTCAGGCAATAGTCAAACATTGAGAGGGTTTTGTGCGTTTACCCTCCAGTGCATCCCTGCTCTGAACTCTGAGTTTAAAGGACCTCATATTACAGAGTTCAAGTGATTAGCTTCAACTTTTCCAAATTGTAGTTAGACTGTCAGGACTGGAGCTGATCAGTACTGATCTAAAACAAACATTATGGATCTGTATCAAGCATTTTCATTCAATGATTGTTGGCCACATTAATGAATAACATTGTTGCTACTAGGTGGTGGAGAGGACACTGAAGAAACTATTATCCATCTTGGATAATCCGGACCACCCTCTGCACCATCTACTGCAGGGACAGACTGATCCAGCTCCGCTGTCACAGGACAGATACGGGAGATCATTGCTGCCCTCTGCCCAAATCAACCACACATCTAGAACACCGCTACAATGTTTGTTTGGTTGTTAAATCTTGGCACTATTTAGTTTGTTAATATTCTATTTTATTGTATATATTGTGCATTTTTACATTTAATATTTTTTACTCCTGTACCTATAAATGCTGTAGCAAAAACGTTTCCCGTTGCAGGATTATTAAAGTACCTATTTAATCTACCAACTGTCATTTATTGCCACAATGTTACCAACATAACATTGCAAAGATCAGTCACATCCTATCTCAAAATGAGATATTGTTACTTCTGGACTAAATTATTGCAATTCCTTATTATCGGGCTGCTCTATTAAATTTAAATTAAGACTCTCCAGTTGATCCAGAATGCTGCAGAATGTGTCCTAACACACTAAGAGAAGACATCCTATTATTATTAGTCCTCTTTCTAATATTGTATTATTAGAACTGTTGTGCCATTATTGTCGCCGTCTCTCGCTTTCAACCCAGTCGAGACTGGACAGGTTTCTACTCATTATAAGGTTTGTTTGTTTCTCGCCAGTCGTGTAGTGCTTGCTCATGGACAGTTGAGCCTCTGTAAATTATAGAGCACAGTCTAGACCAGCTCTATACGAATTGTGTCTATAATAATTCTATTTATTTTATAATGTATTTTTATAGTGTCAAATCATAATTTACTTTAGTTCAATACACAGCTTCCATGAACCCATTTATGAATGCTTTCATTTGCTTTGGGTGTTAACAGTTATGAAAGAACCAAAGACTCCTGCTGGAAGTTGATAGTTAAACGATAGAATGAAGAAACAGGAGATGGACCACCGCACGGTCATTTTGGGCTGGAGCATTACCCACCACTCTGCATTGCTTCTACATGGGGCCGTAATAGGTCGCGTGATTAACGGTCACGGTAAATGGACTCTACTTTTATTTCTCTTTTCTAGTCTTTCCGACCACTCATAGTGCTTTAACACTACATGTCATCATTCACCCATTCATACACTGGATGATAGAATAGTAGCCCCTGCCATCAGGACTAACTAACATTCACATACCGTAGGCACAGCTACAGGAGCACTTTTGGGGTTAAGAGCCTTGCCCAAGGACACATCAGCATGAGACTAGCAGAGCCGGGGATCGGTAATGGAGTCACGGTCCGTAATGCGGAACCAAAGTTTACAAGTGCAAATTCTGCTCGGACACATTTAGCACACAGTCGATTGTCGGTTCAGTCAATCGCACTTAGAAATTAAATAGTGGAGCTGAAAGACCCACCAGCAGGTTTCTTGGTCAGCTGCAAAGTAACTACATATAGAGTGGTGTATAAGACGAGGACGGCGTGCTTCCATCGTTGTAGAGGATGTGAATGAAAACCCATCCCCCAGGATGGGGAAAAAACAACTAACATTTTCAAATTCCAAGAGATGCTTTTCAGTTTTGTAGCCAATCGTAACCGGGTGCCTTTTGGTAAAGTGTCTGTGCAAAACACAAGTTAGCGGTGTAACCAGCCAGATTCTCCTACGGCACGCAGAGAAAATAGACCCGAACCCGGGTAGGAACCGAACCGCGGCCCCCGAACCCGGGTAGGAACCGAACCGCGACCCCCGAACCCGGGTAGGAACCGAACCGCGACTTGTTAGCCTGGGGCTGCCAACAAATACCATAGCCAGGGTTGAGGAGTACCGTGGGGATGAACGTGAATGAGTGCAATTTAAACGCAGTTGAATTAATGCCTGCTCTCACTGATTGTTGAAACCGATAAAGTAGCCACGCTTCAGTGGGTTAAATAGCCAATGTTAGCATAGCAAGTCATGGCCAAAGTTGCTAGAGCTAGACAGACAATGATCCCGGCCCTCCGGTCCTACAGTGACAGTGTCTGTTTGACTGGTAAAAAGTTACTGTTGAGGCTAATCAAAGTAAAACTACTGGTAAGAAGGCAGGAGAAAATGACAGTAATAGAAGTAGTAGGAGGTGTTGATAACATTAAAATGGTTCACTACAGTTTATACAATAGTAAGACCAGTGTACCAGCACATCTCTACCAAGGACCTCACTTCAAAATTGTGCACAATGTCACATTTTGAGCATAACACACTATGACAACCACATAACAGTCTCATTACCAGTGTAGTGACTTATAGTCAGTGTGTTTAGTAAATTCAGATCTCACATAGAACTACCCAAAATTTAGATAATTATAAAAGGTTAAAAAAAAAAAACAAGGTGTGGCCATCAATGGGGGAGGTCTTTTTGCAACTGTCAAAAAGCAGATTTATGTCACTATTTGTAGCTGGCAAAAGTTGGTACAGTATAAACAACATACATTAGTAAGACGAAGGAATGATGGGAGAAGAGGAAGTGACAGCTAGACACCTTGACTATCGGTCTGGCGCTTTACCTACCATGTGCAGAAGCATGACTCAACCTCAACGTCACAGCAAACATTTCAGCTTATTAGTTCTTTGAACGATGAGTATTAGATCACATTCAGAGGGGAGTTCTTCCAATGACAACATGTAGAGGAGGGCGAGGCGGAAGAGGTACTCACATCCTATACGTGCGATACATTATTCTGCTCCAGAAGAGGAGGAAGGCAGAGCAGAAAAAGAAGGAAATCACATAGGAAGAAAGATGAAGGGTTAAGAGACAGACGGGCAGAAGACAGCCAGCTGCTTTCACAGACAGTGGATCGGATTATCAAGTGACAATTTTCCTTTAAAAATAAGTATCTGTGAGAGCGGCCCAACATGCAATGACTTGCAACAAGAAGAGGAGGACAGATTAGTTGCGAGCAGAACACAAACATTCAAAAGATTGACGAGTATGAATCCAACCACAGTCCTCTGCATGTAGAAGGATGGGATGTGTATCGATAGACTGGATAACATGCTTGCGAAAAAACGCTGGAAGAGTTGGATTTTAGTGCGTTCGAGACGATTCATGTCCAACGATAACACATTTTAACTGCATTAATTTAGAAGCATGCCACGGTCTTCTACCTGTAAAATAATGGAATGAACAAACATCACTGGACAAATCATTTCTGTAAAACAGAAGTTGGTGTGTGTGTTGAGGGAGCGGAGGAAAGAAGGGGCGCGCAGATTTCTAGATGGTTTTGCAGCCTACCAACCATTTGATGTTGGATCCACCCCACTGCTCGATCGCTTAAGAGTCTTGTATTATGAAAGTCAAAACTTAAACCAATTATGGAAATCAGTATTGATTTTACGTCTAGTTTTACTTCGGCAAGAAGGTAACTGTTAAGCATTAAAGTCCTAAAATATATTAAAGGATTTATTTATGCAATACCGTCCAAACTCCCAGTTCAGAGAGCAGCTAACTTTAAACAGCTGAATACAACAAAGTATTTTTATATTGTATATTATGCCCACTGTGATTGAATGTTGTATAATAAACAAAGTAGTGAATATATTCCATATTTAGGCACTTTAACACCAGGGATCGCCATGTTTTTATTGTCTGGAGAAAGATTTGTTCACTTTAAAAGTGGCTAAACATGCTGACACAACATCCGTCCTATTTTTAGTTTGTATGCACCATGTTTTTGTAATGTATGCTATATTGTATTGAGCCATAGAGAACACATTTTGAAAACTAGGCCATAATTTAACACTGCTCACATGTTTATCCATCCAACAGTAACTATAAGGTCAAAAGCATCCTCCAAGTCAGCATACAGCTGACCACATAATCCACAAGCTCCCCATGTTCTTGTTAAATGCTTTTTACCGTCAAAGCAAGGGATCGACCCCAGACTAAAGTACAGCTTATTCAAAGAGTCTCTATCCAGAGCTTTCTACAACTTCAAGCATGTGGCAGCTGGAATGAAGGACTTCATCCAGAATTATTGAATTTGTGTCCATGAATTCATCAAAACCAGGGGAATGATCAGATGGAGGTATGAAATTACTTGTATGCACAAAATAGTAATAGATAGATAGATATATTTTTTTTTCTCTCTATGGCCATACATACTGTATATACTTTTAGTTTTTCTCCTCTCAGTATTGTATATTTAGTGGTGAGCTGGTATTATTGGCTTCCTTACTGGTTTTCATTCAGCTAACTTTAAAAACAAACAGCCCTGAGCCAGAGGGGACCCTAAACCCTACTTGAGTTTGTTGGGGTCTTCTTGTGCAGGCTTGCGGAGGAGGGTGGCGTTGGGGTTCGTAGGGTGCTCTCTCTGAGACCTCTCCGGCGCACTCGGCTTGGCGGGAGCTGCCATCGTCTTCTTGGCTGAACGCTTGATTCTCTCCTCCAGCATGCTCATGTCTTTCTCTGATAACTGGAAAGGATAGGGGAAACGAGTCATGTACAACTATGTTTTGGGGTTGATTCTTTTGATAACGGGGTCCTCTATCTTACATTTCCTATTAGTTTGTAGACTTGGTCCCCACAGACGTTGTAGACAGCCACCACAGTGTTCAGGGCGGCGTTGCGAACAGATGTGTCTCTGTCGCCTATGTGCACGGCTATCTCCTTCAGAGACTTCGCTGGTGTTGGCTGGCATACATTCATCCCATAGCCCTCTATCAAACAACCCAACTCCTCCAGACATTCTGAGCACAGGGAGGAACCCACAGAAACAATGTTAGAATACATCATCCTCCCCCATAGTTTGCCATTAAAGAGGCGTATAATGGAACAGTACAGGTCTGTAGAGACTTACCAGCTCTCTGTTTGGAGTTCTTTGATTTCGTTCCATCCATGAGGAAAGGGAAGACCTTGGATGCTGGGTAAACCTTACACAGCATGGCCAGTATGGCCCGAACATCTTTGCGAACCACATCCTTCGACTCTCCTACCTGAAGAAGAGACGAAACTGAGCAGAAAACGCTCTACAGTGGTTTCTATCAATCTGAGGGGGACGTGTGCTCACCTTGAGTATGAGGTAGGGGATGAAGGAGTTGGCCTCGTACTCAGTCAGGTGGTAGTTCTCTGTGTTCAGCATGGCAAACACCAGCTTCAGATACTCCAGCACCTTCATCAGGACTGTGGTGTTGGTGTCAAAGAACCGCAGAGTGAACCACTTGAGAATCAGGTCCAGACAGCTGATGGTGGCTTCGCTCTCACTTTCCAACCTCTGCCAGACACAAACACACATACAGACTTTATTACCAATACTAGCCCATTCCTAATGCTGTAATTTGTAGATTAAGACCAACCATTACCTCAATCATGACTGCTATAGCCTTGACTTGTCTCTGGAAGTCGATGTGAAAAAGCTCATCTTGTAGCCACTTGGCAAAGCAGGTGGACATCTGCGTTTTCAGCTGCTCCAAATATTCATCTCGGGGAGTGGTGAAGTTCCATTTCAAAACCTACAAAGGAAACATTTTGTCAGCAATATTTACGGAGAGTTATTTCGACAAGTCGCCAGTTTAGGCCGCCTGTTGGACTTCCCAAAAGGAGGGGTACCTACAGTCAAATTGACATTTGTATTGTAATATGCTTGTGGTGCCTTTTTTTTTTTTTTTTTTTTTTTTAAATGAGATTTATTGTTTTTTCTAAACACATTACTGATATTTCCTCTTCACTACATCTCACCAACAATTATATACAACGCATTATTCATGGTAGCCCCACCCAGTTACAGTCCACCCACCTCTCACTAAACTACTAGAACATCTTACATGTCTGCAAACACATTTTTAAGAGGTACAGATGAAGATTGTCAATACAACATGTTATTCCTAAGAAGATGGTGAAAGTGGATTTCTTTTCATGGACGTTGACAGTTTTTTCTGATTTATGGAGCGATACAAAGAGATATCCAAAATACCATCTGCATAAACCCTCAAGCTCAATATGTCAACAAAATGAAACAATTTTGAACCATGCTTCATCCAATGTTCAGATTTGTATGCAAATAAACATTTAATAAGACAATGCTTCATTTGCATGTTTGTAAGTATTTTACTGGGGAGGCTGCATGCTGGTATCCATCAGTTAAATAGTTTGACCCTATTCCCCTGGGTGTCTGGGTGTAGTGAATAGACCCAATACACTGGCAGCTCAGTGTATACACTACTGTGATTTGTATCAGCGTGTAAGACAGTGCCTTGTTATGAGTAAGTTTGGTAATATTATTTATACTGCACAAAGCGTTACTCAGCTTCCTATCCATCAGCTGACACTTTCACTCTCAGACACAGAATAGAGCTGATCTCCCACTGGGATCAGGACATGTTTTTCAGATTGTCGGATACCTTTAGTTGTTTCTCTTCCTTGATCCTTTGCTCCTTAGCGTTGGGGATGAGGACGAAGATTGGCCCGGACCTATCTTCATCATCCTTCTGGCTTTTGGCTGCAGGCTTCTTGCCAGCTGCACCCTGAGAGGAGAGGCAGCATCACAGAGTGAGGGACAGCAAGTGAACCAATGTGCTCCGCCTGTGGAATGTTTGGCAGCAGTGTGTGTAACCAGGTTCTGATGTGGATGACAGAGGTGTGTGTAGGTGGCAGACAGAAGAAACAGGGGACAAAGGGTGTTATGCTGAACAGATCTCAGTGCAGGTTAACAGTGCAGAAACACAGATGTGATACTATTCCAACACATTGATAAACACTCATGCAGTGGGGTGACCTGAAACGCGACCTCTCTTAGTTTGTGCTTAATTTCTGTTAGCATGCATGCACTGTCTGTCTGATTTATCTCATGTTAGCAGGTTTTTACATGTTAAAGGTTAATACAGACGTGCGTTGATCTCATTCCACCTAACAACTGTGTGTACATGTGCTTCCGTTTATACAGTGGTGTGCTCACTGGCAGTTTTAGTGATTAGAGAAACAGGATTAGACTGAGCCGAGAGCCGACCGGGTCAAGGCAGAGAGCCGGACAGGGGTTAACATCTGTCCACGGAAAAACTGGCCCCACGTCTGCTACGCAGCTTTAATAAGTAGCAACAGGTAGATGAAGTGTAAACACATTTCATCACAAGGACTACCTGTTGACCGCTAGCAGCAGCTTTCCCTTTGCAGGGGGGCTTTTTACTAGCATTACTGTCCTTGTCCTTGGAAGGGGGAGGGACAGGTTCTTCTGGAGGGGAGGGAGGCTGGGTGAGTAGAAAAACCACATCATATTTACACCTCACTGTCATAAAATGAAACGGTGCGCATCAACAAAAAAGAAATTGTGTCAAATGCTCATGCCTGATATGCACAACCAGTAACAGGAGAGACATCAATGTGGGAGTATTTACTAAAGGTACAGATCAACTCTTAATGTCTAAAAATGTCAAACCATACAATTGGAAGGGTCAGACTGGACTTGAACCGAACATGTCTCTCTTCCTTCATTAGTGATATAAATGTCCTCATTTATATCACTATAAATTAAACAAATTATACTTGAGCTGAACAGCCATTCAAACATGTATTAGGTCCTACAAAGTACAACACGCCTCTGTTCCTCTGTGCACACTGAAAAATCAAAAACAGAAGAGCATCCAGAAAGACATACCTTCTTCCCGGCCGCTCCTCCTCGGACCTTCTTGACTTCAGGTTTACTCTCCACAAAGTCCTCACTGGCTGGCTGCCTGGAGGCTGCAGAGGAGGGACAACTTTGTGAATGTGATCCAACTAATATTGAGCAGACTATTAAAACATTTGACGTCAGACACTGGGTTTGCATTTTTTCTACCCATTTTGTAAATGGGCTGAATTCATACGGTGCTTTCAAAAAGAAAAGAAAATCATTCCCCAACCACGAGCGCTGGATGAGTGGAGGTGAGGAACGTCACCGTAGGAAATTTGGACATTACGATTATTGTCAGAGAAAATATCACTGACTCACACATATTGATCAGAATATTTGAACCCTAACCCTATAGCTGATTAACTAAAATACATATTTTTATCATCACCAACATTCTTTTACTTTGTGTGGGTCATCTATAGAGGTGATTTGAATAGAAACAATTCAAATGATAAGTAAAAGATTGTATTTCTATCTCTCTTAAAAAAAGAGCTAGTGTTAGGAAGTTAAACAGGTCATATTTCTCTCTTTAATATCCAATTAAATATCCACTACTCCTTCACGTCGAAAGGAGTCAGCAGAGGTGGTTCGGGCATCTAATTAGGATGCCTCCTGGACGCCTCCCACTGGAGGTTTTCCAGGCACGTCCAACTGGGAGGAGACCCCGGGGAAGACCCAGAACACGCTGGAGGGATTACATCTCCCAGCTGGCCTGGGAACGCCTCGGGATCCCCCAGAATGAGCTGGAACATGTTGCCGGGGAGAGGGAGGTCTGGGTCGGCCTGCTTGACCTGCTGCCACCGCGACCCGACCCCGGATAAGCGGAGGAAAATCGATGGATGGATGGATGGAATATCCAATTTATATTAATGTGAAAACATCTCCTATAAACAACTGAATATATTCAGGTTTCTCACTACAAACTACATTTAACAAGTTTACATTTGAACACATGATAACGTTATAATTTACTTCCCCAATACTCATCTTTAGAGCTTGAACGCACTATGCAAGTTAACACAACCTCTGTTAGCTGTTCAGCTCCGTGCTGTCGGTCACTGCGATGATGGTAATTAATTACAATATAATAAGTGTCTGATTGAGTTAGTTGTACCAAATATAGTTATTCCTCTATGCCTTATTTTGGACTTCTCTACTCACTAACGTGTGTGTGGTTGTGGCGTTAGCATCTGTGCTGCTTTTTACCGATTTCAAACTAGCATGTGGCGACACAAGTGTGTAAATGTGACGCACAAAAATAAAAATGAGAAATGTGAAACAGACCAGTTTGTCAGCAGCTGATCAGTGAATCTCCGGCTCTACCGGTCAGCAGGAAGGATACACACCGCTGTACTTCCTATATCTTTTACACATTCCTCCCCTTGTATGCGTGGACATTTAGTGAATACAGCTATTCTGCCGAATGGGAACCAGATCCAACATTTTGTTAGCTGTCAAACCCAACCATACCTCACATTATGTGTAAAAGTACCACACAGTAGCACAGATGTGGTTTGACATTGAGAATCTGTCTTAATGAGAGACCGTGTGGTTGTAATAAGGATTGACTGTAATGTGACACAAACCTGAAGCAGCTCTGCTGGGCTCTGCAGAGCCTCTCCCCCCTCCAGCTTTGGCAGGGGCAGCAGGTTTAGCTGGCATCACAGCTCTGGCCTTCTCCAACATGCCTACTACCTGATCTTTGGAGGCAGTCTGCAGGCAGATGAGGAGAGACACATTCATTATTGCAGACAAGATGGTTGTGAAAATGCATTTAGATAGATGCCAGCCACAGCACAATACATCTGTTCAGTACTTTGAGCTTCCCAGCAGCCTTGTCCATTTTCTCGTAGCCCAGGTGCATCATGAAGGTAGGCAGGGCATCCTGAGCTTTCTTCCTCACATCTCCGTTTCTGTCCTCCAGGCAGGCGTAGAGCTGAGGGACACACGACATCAAGTCCCCCGGTACCGTCCTCAGGGTCGGCAGCTTCTCTGCTAACCAGCCGAGCACCTGGGTGATAAGGAGAGGTTCGTGGCAAATCGTGAGTCTCTCATCTGCGTTGTGTGCAGTTTTCTCTGGAAAATGTGCCTGAAATTTCATTCTGGGTGCAGAATGGTGGAGCAACAGATCATAAAACTCAGTTCAGATCACAGATCAGCACAAAAGAAAAAGGGAGCAAAGAGAACTTTTAGAGATCTTTGATCGCGTTCTTTTTCTGACAATACTAAGTGCTGATCATTGATGATCCATATTGTCGTTTGATTATAGCAGCTGGTCTACAAGGCTCCAGACCTTTTTTTTTGCCACCGGCCGAAAATTCATCTCAACCACTCTGAAGTCAGTAAACCATTAAAAACTAAAAATGTTACAGTCATCGATAGTGTTGTTTCTTCATAAAAATATACAATTCAAAAAAGGAAATACAAGTTTGTATTTTTATTGATTAGAACAGATCTTATCATTAGAGCTAGTGTAAACCGCTCATAATTCATCTCTAATATCCATTTTATATTCATGTGAAAACATCTCCTTCATAACTGGATTTATTCAAGTTTCTCACCAACACTACATTTTACGAGATTACATGTGAACGCATCATAACCCATATTCACCGAACAGAGCCTCAACGCATCATAATGTAAGTGAACAGAACCGTTGCTCGTTGTCCATTAGCCACTTCACCAGCTCTCCTCTGGTCAACAAATTACTTCTTTACAAGGTAAAATGATCAGAGATCAGTAAGCATAAATGCAGATGTTCTGATCGCATATTTTACTGAATATTGGTGGATAATGATGTCAGTAAAACTTTATTTCACACTGTGATGGTTAAGGTCAGGGGTCAGCAACCCGCGGCTTTTCAGCCCCTCTGTTGCTGATAACGCCGCTCGCTAATCGCTCCATTAACAGCTGCTTCCTCTGTAATAAAGCAGACTTTAACTCGACAACAGCTGCTGGTAAAGACAACACCTGTAATCAGTTGTCCATGTTAAATTAACCTGGTAGTCCATCGGTAATCAATGTTTGTGAGCTTCCGGGTAAGGGTCACGTGACAATCAGGGAAGGACACGTCGTGACTGCTAAGAACCAATCAAGTAGTGAACGTGGGTGTGGGCGTCATAGTTTCTAAATGTATGCGTTTACAAGCATCCACACGCAGAGGCAACCCCAGAGTTATCAAACTCCTGGGTTTTCGGTGCTTGAAAACTCGGGCGTAGTGTTAACGTAGCAAAACATACGTTGTAAAATGGAAACGTAGTCGTGTGGACATGGCCTGTTTCTATGCGAGGGATCCGGGACAAGATTGTAAAGCCCTCGGAGGCAAATTAGCAATTTGTGATTTTGGGCTTTATAAAAATAAATTGAACAGCATTTGCTGAAAAGTATCATGCTGGAGGAGAGACAAAGAGCGATTTCTCAACTGCTGCAGCAAACTGAGCAAGTTTTCTTCTCCTCTTCATAAGAGTTTGATATTGTTCTAACAGGTAAAATAGCAATAAAATGTCAAGAATTGTCTTTATTCTTGTTCTATATTTTCATAAATACAACAAACTATAGTTTTTGTATAAATAACTATATATACAACTTTATAAGCTGCGATGTCAAATAGCTTTTGCGGCTCCAGAAGAATTGCATTTGCAAAATGGCTCTTTGGATAGTAAAGGTTGCCGACCCCTGGTTCAGGTAAACTGTAATTAATCTGCGGTTCACATGCATGCCATGAGGGGGGGCTCCGTTACACCACTAGTGCAGAAGGTACAAGAAAATGGAAGTTCTCTTTTCTGAATAAGTGGAATGCAAGATTTCCTTCACAAACAAGTCCGTTAAGAGAGTGTGTGTGTTTCACTGTGTACCTCCTGTCGTAGGAAGGGATTCTCCCTTTTTAGCTCCTCTGACAAATCTTCTCCCTCCAGCCACTCCTTCATCCCAGTCTGCTCCACCCAGGCCTGCAGAGTGGTCATTGCAGCCGCCCTTACGTTAGACTGCAGAGAAACAGAGGACATGTCCGTCGTCACCACCACAGTTAGTACACAACAGGCCCCAGAGCGACAAGCGTCTTCAGATTTATCATTCTAAAGTAGACATTTTACATTTGTGGATTTTACATGGAAACACAGACGCTTTACCTTGCTATCTCCCAGTACGGTGATAACAGGGAATCCCAATGCTTTAACATGCTGCTTGAGTCCAGGTCCCATGGGTGTAGACATCTGCTGCAGGATAGCAAGAGTCTGCTGGACCTGGAGACCACAAACATAAGCGTCATTTTCCAAAAAAAAAAAAAAAAAAAAAAAAAAAAAAAAAAAAAATATGTACAGACTAATAGAAGAAGAATCTCTCTGAACCACCACTGAAAGTTAGGAAACCATGTTGTACAATGACAATTCAATAACCTTGTAACTATCTGCAACAATGAAATTACCAAAAACCAAATGAAATCAGGGACAGTGTGTTGACTTAAGGCCTTTCATTTCTGTCCACATTTAATGTAGTTTCATTCTGAGCAGAGCTGTGCTGCTGCAGCGACGTCTGCTCTCTTACTAACCAGGATCTTGTTGGAGTCGCTGAGTCGGGCTTTCAGGGCCAGAGGCAGGTCTCCGATGTTGGCTGTGATCAACTTGGCCTCCGAGATGATGGCTGCAGTCTCATCCAGACCCTCCTTCCTGATCTTCCAGTTCTTATCACTAATTTTAGACAGCAGATCGGACGTAATCTTGTCACTGTGAGATGGGAGGGAAGAGAGAGAAAAATAGGCACAATACTTCAGTCTATGCAGTCGCAATCAACTGAGTGTCTCCTCACTTGAGCCAAACACAATGGGACATATATACTGAATGTATACACTGTATACTCAGTGGTATGGAGAAAAGGCATAGCAAACTTGCAGCTTAACTACGCATCGTGGTTTCTTGAGAATTATTGTCTTTGTTAAAATCTTGTTATGAGTAAATATGTTATGTTTAAGTGTAGCAACAGTAGTGGTGTAACGGATCACGGATCGATCCGTGGGGATCAGCACTCACGGTTCGGATCACTCGTGAACCGCGGATCAATTGAGTATTTTTTTTTTTTACAGTTCAATCATCACAGTGTGTAATAAAGTTTTACTGCTGCTGTTCCTTTTCAAGTAACAAGTCCCCGAATATCAACGCAGAGTGTCAGTGAACAGATATAAAGCAGTAGTGTGTTCACGTGAACGGAGCAGGTTAGAAGCATTTAACGGGGAAAGTCATGGCGAGAGGAGGAACTTCAGAAGCTCCCGCGTCATTTAAGTCGCAAGTTTGGGAGCATTTTATCTTCCCTGTAACTTATAATGACGGATAAGGGTGCTGGATGAAACCTTTACGGTATATAGGCATTATTTAAAGAGAAAGACACGACAACGGCAGCACATCGGCATATGAAGAGACACCATCCCATCTGTCAGCGACGGGGGACACTCCGGTGTGGAAAACTAAGGATTTCAAAATCTGGTTAAAATGCTTGAGCCACGCTACGAAATCCACTCACGCACCCACATTCAGTATGTATGTTCCAGAGAGTCGCTGCAGACACGCCCCCTCTGAGAGAGAGTCGCTGCAGACACGCCCCCTCTGAGAGAGAGTCGCTGCAGACACGCCCCCTCTGAGAGAGAGTCGCTGCAGACACACCTGGGGCAGGTGCTGACAGAAGCAGCAGAGTGGAAGCTAGACCGGCCCAATAGCAATATCCCAGTCACCACAGAAAGGTCGTCCCCCTCTCCAGACAATGGAGATATTCTCATCTTTTTGAAAATAATGTCACAGTAATAGTAAACATTATTTAACAGTAAACATTGTGTATTTGAATAACTTAACCTGACAGGAAGTAAACATAGACCCAAGTTGTTGCCGAGCAGTTCAGTGTAAGCTAGCTCACTGGCTGTTTCTTTCTTTCAGTTTTGATCAAAGGACGAGGGTATCAACATACCTCATGTTGCACTTAAACTTAACAGAATTGAGTATATTTGAATGTTTTATTTATATATTTAAATTTGTTTCAAATTGGACATCTTCAATATTTTTGTTTTTATGTAAGACTGTAGCTCAAAGTTCTTTTAAGTGTTCTTGAAGTTCTTTAATTAATAAATGGAAAGCAAAGTTATATTTGACTCCTCCCCTTGTCTTTGTTGATCTGAAAAATGATCCGAAGCGTGACTCAAGAACCGTGATCCGAACCGAACCGTGAGGTTTGTGACCCGTTGCACCCCTAAGCAACAGTGAAGTCATATTCTATCATGTAGATGATCTTCTAGGAGGTCGGCCGGTGCGTTTTAAAGGCCGATATTATAACGATAGTTTGGAGCAGGAAAAATTGAATTGAATCATTAGTAAGAGAACATCCTGACGTGGGATGTATTGGATTACTTGGATTCAATAAAACCCTTTGAGATCCCTGATCCTGGTTTTTTTGCCGCCAATACTAATTATTGATCAATATTGGCAGATACAGTTTCCTTTGTGGTTTGATTATAGCAGCTGGTCTACAAGGATCCAGAGTTTTGTACCACCGTCCCAAAAATCATTTCAACCGCTCTAAAGTCAGTGGAAAACATACATGTTATCCTTTTACTTGTTATAGTCATCTATAGTGTTCTTCCATAAAAAGGCACACTATTCAAATGATTAGGAAATAAAAGATTGTATTTTCATTGATAGAAACAAATCTTGGCATTAGTAGTTTTATTGATGCATTATAATCTTTAGGAGGTAGTGTAAACAGCTCATAATTCATCTCTATTATTTATTTATGTTGCTGTGAAAACATCTCCTTCAAACAACTGGATCTATTCAGGGAGGTCATACGTTTACAGATTGTTAAGCCCTCAGAGGAAAATCTGTGATATTTATTATTTCATGTGGCGCGATTATATAAAGTAAATGTGGCGACAAAATGTTCAAACAGGCTAAATTTGTGTCACGAAAGCATATCAGCGTAAAGATTCTCCTGACATGTCTGACGGCCTGAGGTTGTGGCCGTCTACAATAGTACCTCATGTTTGTACAGAGACCAGACGATAAAGGAGATTGTATGAATAATAAATGGTTAATCAAAATAAACACTGACCTGTTCATGCCTTATTTGTGACGTTATTTTGAGTGTTGATGGAGCATCTACAATGTTAACATAGCCTAGCACTGAATGAGCCAAACTCCAATCAGATAAGCATTTTAAAAGTGGTTTGCTTATCGATGTGGACAGACAAGAAACAGCATGAATATCTACTGTATACATGAATAAAATATCTGGGACTTCCATACACAGGTACAAGCAACACTAGTGTATATTTTGGCCAAGATGGATGTTGTATCTACATGGAGGTAAGCTCCTCCTCTCCGCACGAGTCACATAAGGCAAAACTTGGCATGTTTGATATTAACTTTAGGCGTAAGGATACCCTCTTCTCATTTATGGACAATTCCTAAAAGCTTGAGAATTCTCAGAATAGATGTAGAAAATAAAAACAAGAACTACGTTTACTAATTATTATTGTGTTCATATTCTGAAAAAGTAGGGGTGTATGAAGTTCAATCTTGTTTTGGTAGACTGGGGCTGTCAGTGTTTGGTTACCCGATATCTGTTCTGGGCAGTAGGTCCATAATGTCCTGTGCTGCTGCTACTCCATCTTCTTCCTGCTCCTCTCCTTCATCACCCTCTTCATCTGCTGCTGACTTCTTGGTGAATCGGATTGGTGCTGGTGGGGACTGGCCCTGCATCTATGTGGGACACAAAGTCATGGAAATCAATTGGTCAAAATGTGTATGAACCATGACTTTAAACCAAATTTCCATGACCAAACATTTTGTGAAATCTCGGTGTATACATGAAAAAGTGAGAAAATGTAGTATTTAAACTAACAATGAGAATTCAAAGCATACAGTCTACCTTAAATGAAAACAAATAAATGAGAGACAATAGTTTGATTAAAAGAATAAACATTTATAAATATACTCTGGTTGACACATCAATAAGAGCTTTAGTAGGTAGCAGCATCCAGCTAGTGCATATTGCTTTCCCTTTTGTAGTGCACATTTTTCATTGAACCCTGTTACTGTACGGCTTCATATTAACTTCCACTGTTACTGTACAGCCGTTAGAATTGTGACCCATCTTCTATTTGCAATTAATATGCATTCAATCCAGTTCAATTATTTAAATGAAAATGATAATCTACTCTGGCTAAAGTAGCTTATCAAGAGTAAAATAATAGCTGTGATCTATACACACCTCTGCATTAGCAACCCGCTGAAATGAAGGTACAGGCACCTTAACCCTCTCATTACTTCAGGGTTCTTGAGAGCAACTGCACGTGGGACTGTTGGGACTGTTAATACACCGGCTGTGGTCATTACAGTGAACAGTGTGATGAGAGGACATGTGAGCCCTTGTTGCTGTACTTTATATTATGCAGAGGCTGCATTTAGCATACCCTGCCTTATCAATGTATTTAAAAACACTGACAGCAGGAAGCTGTACTCACATCTGTTTAGACCTCCACCTTTATCCAGGCCCAGCTCCACCTTTATCCAGGCCCAGCTCCACTCACAGCTCAGCCCTGCGTCAAGCTGCGCTACACAGACAGCCTCCTCTCCCTGAAGCTCTTTGACCTCATCATCTCATCATCTCATCAGTATCTGGGCCTCATGTTTCGTAGTCATGAAAGTTATTCTGACCATGAAATCATCCTCATTCTACTTAGAGTTAAAACAAACAACAACCTGCAACCAGATGCGCCGGTGTTCCGGTTTAACGTTAATGAGTGGCCGCGTGAACTGAACCGGAACACGGGGGGGGGGGG